TGATGGCTGGTTTCCCAAGCATGCCCTCCTCAAGCCGTCATGGTTGAACAGTCACTTCCACATGGAACAGTGATTGTCATCTCTTCTGGACCCTGCTGGGTGCTCAGTTGAAAAGGAGCCTGTCAGGAAGGGGCACAGTGTGTCTAAAGCATCCATAGATCATAAGGTTGATCTCTTCTGAATTGCTTCTGCAGTTCTGTGGAAACAACTCTACTTTCAATGCTTAGCAAGACTACTCCATGGAATCTCAGTATTACGATCTTGGACTGTGGTTCAAATGACAGACCATGGCTCCATTGTCAAACCTGTAATTGGATCAGTAGTAGGATGCCTATGACCTACTATTCATAGACAAACCCATCTATTTCTTGTTTTAATAGTATAAAATTTCTGTGCCGGGTGTGGTATCACACACCTTTAATCCTAGCACTTGGGAGGCAGAGGCAGAGGCAGGTGGATCTATATGAGTTCAAGGCCAGCCTGGTCTACCTAGTGAGGCAAGGAGCCACTGTCTCAAAAAGACCAAAAACAAAATAGTATAAAAATTTTGAGTTTTTATAAAATTTTGGGGTATCATAAATGTAGTAAATAACAGCTATTTACAAAAAGGTAGATATCAAAATTACCCTGATGGAACAATTGGAATGTCCTTAGAACTCAAATAATATTCATCTGAAATGATGATGCTCAGTATAGTATTTTAATAAGGATAATTTTAAAGTTATTGCCTTTCTTTCCTTCCTTCTCTCTCGCTCTTTCCTTCCTTCCTTCCTTCCTTCCTTCCTCCCTCCCTCCCTTTCTCTCTCTCTCTTTCTCTCTCTCTCTCTCTCTCTCTTTCTCTCTTTCTTTCTTTGACAAGGTCTCATGTGGTCCAGGTTGGCCTCAAGCTCACTATGTAGCAGAGGTTGACTTTGAATTCCTTATCCTCTTGCCTCCACCTCCCAAGTTCTGGCATTACAGGTATCATCACGCTCAGCTTAAGGTGATCTTTTCTTTCCTCTCTCTTTTTGGTGTTTTTGAGACAGGGTCTTTGTAGCCCCAGCTGGCCTAGAACTTGCTATGTAGACCAGGCTGGCCTTGAACTCACATAGATCCACCTGCCTCTGCCTCCTGAGTGCTAGGATTAAAGGCATGTACCATTATACCTGGTTTCTCTCTCTCTCTCTCTCTCTCTCTCTCTCTCTCTCTCTCTCTCTCTCTCTCTCTCGTCAAGATCTCATGCTGCAGCCTAGGCTGGCCTTGAGCTCCTGTCTCAGTTTCCCTAGTGTTAGAAGTGCAGGCATCAGCCACTAGATGCAGTTTAAGTTATCTTTACAGATGTGATGCTTGCACAGACTAATTTTTCTTTTCTTTTTCAGGTTTATTATTATTGTTTTATTATTTATTTATTATTAGTATTTTATTTTTTTGGTCTTTTTTGAGACAGGGTTTCCCTGTATCCCCAGCTGGCCTGGAACACACTGTGTAGACCAGGCTAGCTTTGAACTCACAGAGATCCACCTGGCTTTGCCTCCCAAGTGCTGGGATTAAAGGTGTGCACCACCACGCCTGGCTTATTTTTATTATTTTTATGTTATGTGTATGAGTATATTGCCTGCATGTGTGTAAGTGCACCTGTATCATGAAATGCCCAAAGAGGTCAGGAGAAGGCATTGGAGACCTTGAAACTGGAGTTGTGGGCAGTTGTTAGCTGCCATGTGGGTGCTGGAAATTGAATCTGAGTCCTCTGTAAGAGTAGCCAGTGTTCTTAATCACTAAGCCATCTCTCCAACCCATTTTTTCAAAAAATATTTTATTATTTTTATTTTATGTGTATGAGTGTATTGCTTGCATGTATGTAAATGCCCCCATGTTATGCAATGCCCACGGAGGTCAGAAGAGGGCATCAGAGCTCCTGTAATTGGAGTTACAGATGGTTGTTAGCTTCCCTTTGAGTGCTGGGAATCAAGCAAGAGCAGCCAGTGCTCTTAACTGCTGAGCCACCTCTCCAGTCCCATCCTGTTTTCCTTCCTTCCTTCCTTCCTTCCTTCCTTCCTTCCTTCCTTCCTTCCTTCCTTCCTTCCTTTCTTTTCTTTCTTTTTGTTCTTTTTGAGATGATCTCCCTGTAGCCCCAGCTGACCTGGAACTCCCTATGTAAGCCAGGCTGGCCTCGAACTCAAAGAGAGCCACTTGCCTCTGCCTCCCAAGTGCTGGGATTAAAGGCATGTGCTACTATGCTAGATTTTTCATAAATTTTTTTGGTCTTCTTAAGGGTCTCCCTGGACTGCTTGTAAATTTAAACTTTTTAATTTAATTTTTTTTGTCCTTTTTCTTGAGACAGGGTCTCCTTGTAGCTCCAGCTAGAATTCACTATGTAGACTAGGCTGGCCTTGAACTCATAGAGATCTATCTGCCTCTGCCTTCCGAGTTCTGGGATTAAAGACGTGCACCACCACACCTGGCTTAAAATTTGATTTAATTAAAAAAAAATTTTATATGCGCTGGGCATGGTGGCGCACACCATTAATCCCAGCACTCAGGAGGCAGAGGCAGGCAGATCTCTGTGAGTTCAAGGCCAGCCTGGTCTGCATAGTGAGTTCCAGGACAGCTGGGGCTACAGGGAGACCCTGCTTCAAAAAGACAAAAAAAAATTTATATGTATGAGTATTTTGCTTGCATGTATGTAGTAAGTACACCATGTACATGCAATGCCTGTGGAGGCCAGAAGAGGGTGTTGTATCCCCTGGAACTGGAGTTACAGATTGTTGCTAGCCACCATCTGGGAGCTGGGAACCTGTTTTCTTACCTTCCTGGTGACTTCAAGCCTTACATATAAAAATTTCTTTTATGCGACAAGGTTTCACTGTGCTGCCCAAGCTGACCTCAAACTCATCAGAGTAATGTAATCCTCCTCCCTCAGCCTGTTAAGGAGCTGAGACTACAGGCATGTGTCTCTGTGATAAGCTAATTTTGCTTTACAACTCAGTTGTTTTGTTTGGGTTTGGGGACAAGGTCTCCCTATGTAGTCCAGACTGGTCTTAAATTTGAGATCTTACCTCAGTCTCCCTAGGTGTGCATTACTATGCCTGGCTTTGTAGCTGTTTTTAAAGTTATCTGTGGAATTGGGTTTAACATAAAGTGGGCCGATGTGGGGTTTAAGTTTCTAGATTTTACCTTTAAGGAACTCCTCTAACGGGTATACAAATATTTCATAAATGCTTTTGTGTTTACAATACTGAGTAGTTAAGGTGAAACGCTAAGAAGGCCAAGAAAACAAGAGATTAGATTGTAACTCACTTGGTTAATTTAACTTATTCATATATTTAACCACAGTCAGCACTCAGTTGCTTTCCTCTAAGAGGCCCAGTTTCCAAAACACAACTTTCAAAATATCTTACTTCCTCACAAGGATCTTTGTGTTCAGTTACCCTTTGATTTTTGCCAGCTATTCTGTTACTTGCCATTTTAGCAGACTGTAGTTGAGAACCGATTCTGTAAGCTTATCTTCATGGCATGTTGAGCCACCAACAAACCCCAAATCATTAACTGCAATGCATAATCACATTTTCTATATGGCTGCCTTTGAATCTAGAATGTCGTAACAGAAACAGAGCCAAAAGCATAACAGAGCCAAGCTGCTTCCAAGGAGAAGCTCAGTATTTCCTGAGTGTTACTTTTTAGGTATCCTATGACTTTTGGAAAGCATTCACCTTGGACATTCGTCTACAGTGGTTCTTCTCAATGATCATTTTCACCATCATGGGAATTATTGGTCTTAGGAATGGAGGTCAATGTAATGAGTAATAAAAGGAGTTCACAAGCTGGGCATACTAGCACATGCCTTTAATCCCAGCACTTGGGAGGCAGAGGCAGGTGAATCTCTGTGAGTTCAAGGCCAGCTTGGTCTATATAGTGAGTTCCAGGACAGCTGGGGCTACAGGGAGACCCTGTCTCAGAAAGACCCCCCCCAAAAAAAAGGAGTTCACAGGTCTAAGAAAACTGTCTTTTCTCTTCACATCCGCATCTTAGGTTTCATTTTCAGTGACTGAGAGGGTATGTTTACTTCTTCCTAATCATTTGAAAGACTCCTATTGTGTCTTAATGTAGAAGGCCATTAGGTTCACAAAGCACCATAAACTTACTCTCCCAATAATGAGCCAAATCATCAGGTTTGCTTATAACAAACTTTTTGTTCACAATTTTTTTTGAGACAAGGTTTCATTGTGTAGCCCTGAGTGGTTTAGAAATTGCTATGTAGACCAGGCTAGCCTCAAATGCAAAGATCCCCCACCTGATTCTGCCTCCTGAGTGCTGGGATTAAAGGTATGCACCCATGTCTAGCTTGTTTGCAATTTTTTAGTTACACACTACTTTTAAACATTGGGCAATCTTTTATTTATTTATTTATTATTCATTTATTTATTTATTTAATTTTTTCTTTTTGAGACAGGATCTCCCTGTAGCCCCAGTTGGCATGGAACTCACTATGTAGACTAGACTGTCTTTGAACTCACAGAGATCAGCCTGCCTCTGCCTCCCAAGTGCTGGGACTAAAGGTGTGTGCCACCATGCCTGGCCACATTGGGCAATCTTTGCTTTCGCTTGATTAGCAAAATGATCCACTTGCTTTACCTTTAAAGAAGTATTTTGTGTGGGATGAGGTTGTTGGGACAAGATGTTTTTTCTTGCTTTCCAGTTTCATAACATAAACCCATCTCCACATTTTACTTGTACAACAATGGGCTTATTCATTATGGGCATTGCTTAGTTTCTTTCCTTTCTTTCCTTCTTATGGGCCTCACTCAGTTTTCCTCCTTCCCACTCTCCCTTTCTCTCTTTCTCTCTTTCTCTCTCTCTCTCTCTCTCTCTCTCTCTCTCTCTCTCTCTCTCTCTCTCCTCTTTTGTAGTACTAGGGATGGAACCTAGCAGCAAATGCCAGGCCGCTGTTCTACCACTAGGCTACACCCCCAAAAGAACTGTTGCTAGAAAAAAGGATTAGAAACAATGCTTACGCCAAATAATTAAATCAAAGAGTAGTTTATTAAAAAAGAATCAAAACAGAAACTCTAAGTACCAGTGTGTACATTGTACACATTTAAATGACTCACAAGAATGAAGTTTTTTCATATATAGTAAGATCATACCACCTTGTTGTTTATCAAAAGATGTTCAAGAATTCTGCCTCCAAACTGCATATATGATTGCCATATTAAACAGACCGCATTTCAAACATGCAACAACGCCACTGGTAATAAAGCTTTGGAATGGGTGCTCATTCTATTATTTTACTACAAACAGGATAGAAAGCAAGGTAAGTTGAGAATTCTTCTAAAATAGAATGGAGGTTGTCATGTCTACACCAGCACTCCTCACTCCTCTGCTGCCATTTTGAGCAAGTACTCTTTGTCAATCTTGAAGAGCCTCCACCCCTCTTCACTGGATAGATCAGAAGCACCTCTTCTTTTATAGAAGTTGATAGATGGTTCGTTCCATTCTGCTACCAAGAAGTGCATACTGCTGCAGCGACACTTCATGGCCACCTGTTAGAAGGGAGAGAACACACGGGCTCAGAGACACGTCTCAAGCTTGCCAAGACCCAGTTTTGATTCAGTCATTACAGTAGCCCAGTCATCCCTAGAAATTCAAAAGCCCAATTCTAGGACAACCAGGTGTGGTGGTTCACAGCTGTAATCCCAGCACTCGGGAAGCTGAGGCAGGAAGACTGCCAAGATTTTGAGGCCAGCCAGGAATATATAGTGAATTCCAGTGGAGATATGGGACATACCTGGCTTAGGTTCTTCAAAATTTCTGATCCTATACCAAAGCCTAAAAGAAAGAAATACAATTTAACTTAATAAATCACTTTAAAGACATAACTCTGATTTCTCTTTAGACCATCTCCAATCCCAAACTCAACTATACCTCTGTAATCACTCATCACGAAGAAGTCTTCAAGATACAGTAACTTGCCAATCCATGGGTCATAGGTAAAATAGTACATGGCAAAACCAACAATGCTGTGTCCTGTAATAAGAGCATCCCATGAGACGCAGAGGATAAACACAATCCATTCAAGCTGCAGCGGCAGAATCAGAAGCCTTAAAATCAGATTTTAAGAAAATATACATGCAAGTATCATGGAAACAAGTAGCCGTGAGCAGGGCTGCCTCCTGTTGTTTATGCTAAGACAGCCTCCTGTCGTTTATGCTAGTACAGTCCAGGTCAGTGATGGACGAGCTTTCTGTTCTCAGACATGTATTTGCCAAAAGCACACGTTAGAGCTAGCTGAAGCCAGGCTACAACTGTGAACTAGCTACTCTGCAGTCTGCCAGATCTCACATTCAGGAAGTGAGAATGCTTTCATTATTTGCCAGAGCGAAACTGCCATGGTCTTAAACTAAACACACACATAATTCACATCCTCATGATATACCGGTCTGTGGACTTGGCAAAAAGTCAGGTTTACACGGCAGTTCAGAAGAGCCAATATTTGTAGTTTACCAATTCTTGCTTCCTTAAGGTCCGAACAATCAGGCCAAAAGCACAATGTTTAATTTCAGAACTTGCCTTCCCATTTATACAATTTTTCAATTTGCGTTCCCCAGTTTTTAAGCCAGAAGCAGCAGCAGTGACCAGAAACTGGTATTATGTAAAATACACATACTTCTAAAAACACCTCATCCTTTATATGTTCCGATTATTTCTTCTTGCTTACAGAACAGACATCAGAAGAAAACTTAAGCACCCACCCGAACAACTTCCCCTTTTAGCTGTCTTCTGACCAGTCAACAGGGGCCAGCAAAAAAAAAAAAAAAAAAGGGCATTTGACTGTTTCATAAGGAGTGTCTATACAATTCCAAATGTCCAAATGAAGGCAAAGGTTTCAAATTAAACTTTCTAGCCATTTTTTATTTCTTTGCAAACAGACAGGAAGCGAGTATAATAGTTTCTGATCTACCGTGTTTTAAGTGTGTGATAATAGGACCTTACCTCATTTATCATGATCATCTACTTTATTGTGTAAAGGATCTTTTAGTTACCTCCCCGCCCATCCATGTACACGGAAGGGCCATGTACATGGCGAAGCTAGAGACTGTAACCTGAAGATTGGGACAAATTAAAGAAAAAAATGTGATTTAACACAATTACAAAAAAGGTTAGGTTAGGGTCAAACAAGAACCATTTTATGAAACTGAATTACAACAAATGACATTATACCTTAATTTTTCAAGGTCTCTACAGCTCTCTGATACTTACTTAAACAGCTTCTAACCCGCCCTGTTATAAAGTGCAGTACATTAATTTTTTTCCTCAGTAATTTGAACACTGGCTGGCTGTTATTTCCGGCCAGCTTCTCAGTTAAGTAACTTCAGCCCATGTAGTCAAGGGTTTTACACAACACTCTGTCTCTCTGGCTTCTGGACAGGGAGAGGGGGTTACCTTCCGGAGTCCAGTGTTCTTTGGGCACTTCGGCAACCAGGCAGTGGTAGAACGGGTGCTCTCCAAAACCATCCTCTAGAAGATCTGCAAGAAGGAGTAGACAGAGACAGTGTCGGCCTGGGAGGGTGCCAGGTACCGATCGTCTGTCCCCTACCCCCACCACTGCTACGTTACCTTTCTCAGTTAATATGACTTGGTCTTCCATGTATTCATATTTAGCCAGTTCCTGGGGGCGGCACACATAAAAGAGAGAAGAAAGGACGGTAAGACTCTCGTCTAGCCCCGCCCGTTCGCAGGGAGGGAATGGGGCCAGGCAGGGTCGGACGGTGAGAATTCAGCCTGGCGCAGCCCTGGTCAACTCGGATTGGGAGTGGCAGGCTGAAAAAAGAGGGTACGGGGCTGGGCAGCAGCTCAGACCCGACGTTGTGGACCTCCTGGGGAACAGAGCCGCTCCCCCGCTCCGCCCCGGGCTGCGCTCGGCCTTTTCTCTACCTTGATCAGCCGCAGGATGTCACAGCAGTCGGCGGCAGTGGCCGGACGAATCACGAATTTAGCCATTTTCGTCTTTTGCTTTTCTTCCCTTTGCGCACCAGGCCCCTGTACTTGAACAGCAGGAGGAGGTGGTTCCTCATTCGTCTCCCGGGAGCGTCTTCTTCTCAGTCAGGCTGGCACCATGACCCGGCGAACCTCGGCAAATGTCGGAAACCCTTTGTGCACTCTTCTACTGGGTGCTGCGCGGCTCCGCGGAGGCGAGATGCAGCTTTTAAATCTGGAGGAGCCCCGCCCCGACCGTGAGATGGAAACATTTTGACCAACGAGGCCGCGAGCGCACCGCCCTCTTTTCCAGGCAGGGGGGGGGGGGGCGGAGAGCAGTGGAGGGCGAGATACGCGGTGGCGCTTTCTAGCGGCGCTCGCCCTCTAGTGGCGCCTTGCGGAACCTTTCCAGAAACCCTAGCTGCTTGCCTGCATGCCCCCTAGTAACCTTTGTAAAGGGAAAATGAGGATTCCCTCCCTGACCCTGACCAGAGCCTTTTCTGAGAAAAGCAAATTCAGGAAACCTAGCTTTAGGCGATGAAGGGTTAGAACAGCTATTCTCAAGTGTCGTCCGGAGGTGTCATTTGTCTTTTTCTCACTGTTTGGAATTTTCCACAGGCAATTCATTCATATGTGATGATCTCATTGAAATGATGGCTAAAGGAATGTGTGCTTGCATCTTCTTGTTTTCTAGATTTTCTAAGGTCAGCTCTTAGGATTCCTCAATTTACTTCCTTTGTACTTGTAATCATTAGAGTTAAAAATATCTTCTTTTTTTGACTTTTCCCCCTTCCTTCTTAAATCTCTGTTCATCCTTATAGAAACACTTTCCTCCTGACTGAGGAAACTTCACAGTTTCCTTTAGTGAAGCTCTGAGTTTGTAAAACATTCTCAGTTTTTCTTATGTGAGTATATCATCTTAGATTGTTTTTTTCCTTTAACTTTTTGGATTTATTTTTATTATTTATTTTTTAATTTGTATGAGTGTTTTGTCTGCCATGTGTTTAAGTGCACCACACCTATTCAGTGCCCACAAAGGCCACAAAAGTGTGTGGGATCCCCTGGAACTTGAGTTACTGATAGTTGTTAGCCTCCATGTGGGTGCTGGGAACTGAACCTGTGTCATCTGTAAGAGCAGCCAGTGCTCTTAACCACTGAACCATCTCTTAAATTTTTGAAGGATTTATTTAATTGCTTATAGATTTTGAGGTTTGGAGATATAGTATTAAACTTAAGCCAGGTATGGAGACACAAGCCTGTAATCCCAGTACTTAGGAGAATGAGGCAGGGGGATCTCAAGTTCAAGGCCAGCCTGAACTGCATAGGGAGTCCGGGTCTCAAAAAACTAAGCTAGGGCCTGGTGTAGTGGCTCACACCTTTAATTGCAGCACTCAGGAAGCAGAGACAGGCCGGATCTCTGTGAGTTTGAGGCCAGGCTGGTCTACACAGAGAGTTCCAGGCAAGCTAGAGCAGCTACATAGTGAGACCCGGTCCCAAAAAACCACCCCCAAACTAAACAACAAAGAAACAAAGTCCCAAATTAAACCAGGGCTGGGGAGATGACTTAGTGGTTAAGAGCTTTTGATGGTTTTTTCAGAAGATCAAAGTTTGGTTCCCAGCACTCACATCATTGCTGCCTTTAACTCCAGCTCCAGGGAATCCAACCCCTTCTTCTAGCCTCTAGGGGCGTTTTCATCTTTCAGCACACTGATAAATGAAAGTCTCCTGACTTCTTTTGTTTCCTTTAACTTTTTATTTTGAAATTATTGTAAGCTTAAGAGGATGTGTTTTAGTCACTGCTCCAGTGACTAAAAGAATCTTCGGCTGTGTCATGTCTTCTAGATTTTTCAAAGTAAGCTCTTTGGATTTATGAAGTTCTTTTATTAAATTTTTTTTAAAAAATTGTTATTTTTATTTTATGTGTATGCATGTATTGCTTGCATGCAGGTAAGTGCACCCATGCAGCGCAGTGCCCGTGGAGGACAGAAGAGGCTGTAGGATCCCCTGGAACTAGAGTTACGGACAGTTGTTAGTTGCCATGTGGGTGCTGGGATGTGAAACCAGTTCTTCTGCAAGAACAGTCAGTGTTCTTAACCGCTGAGCCATCTCTCCAGCCAGGATTTATGGGGTTTTAAATGTCCTGAGATTAAACTCTTTGGGAACAATTGGGTCAGCATATTCCTGGATTCCTTTGGAACAAGTATTCAAGTCTCCGAGGAATGGCTTTTGTTTCACAAGTAACTTTCCCAGACAGACCCTGTTGAGGGCTCTGCTTCCATGGCCCTGCCTGGATTCCACAGTGAAAGGATGTTTTTGGTGTGAGAAAATGCATAAAAGGGGTCTACATCATCCGTAGTCTGTACTGTGAGCAATTGGACTATTGCCACCTGACCACTACTAACATTTAAAAATTAACTCTGCCTTTACTAACAACAATATCCTGTATGTAGAAATGAAAGCAAAAAAGCATTTTCAGTCACCCCTCCCACTCTCTTGGGACTCAATTCATAGTGAGTCACTGGGAGAGCTTATGCAACAAAGAGCTTTAAAAATAGCACTGATTCTCACCTACCTGAGTTCCTGCTGGTGGTGGCTTCCTTGACACCATGGGCTCCACCCCATGGACAAGGACGCTTATTTGCTTCTGTTTAGAATATTAGAGCACTTATGAGAGTTTGTCACACGTTTACTGATAATGTACTGATAGCAGTACATAAGACTTCTATGACTAAGCACCAAGAATAGCTTCCCGTTGAAGCAAAACCAAAGGCATTTTCTATTTAGATTGCTTAGGTTTTTAGAATAGTGACTGAACTTAGCATTTGATAAACTTTTATTTGGTTAATGAGTCAACAGTTCAACAAGTACTTATTGAATCTTAGATTAGGTACTTGGGGCTTATAAAGGATCACCGAGTGTTACAACAAGCCCTCAAGGTGTGCAGTTTACTTTTAGAGATTTGACTGTAGTTCTCTACAATAGATTTGAATCTTTGTGAGAAAGAGAATTCCTGTCACTGAAGAAGACAGAAGCATCATGGAAGAAAAGTAGCCAAGGCAATGCTTTGTGTTCCTTGTGTCATTTGATTCTTGCAACTGTCTTGAAACAGATCATGTTCACTCCATTTTTACAGTTGAGAAAACCTGAAGTTCACAGAGGCTACAAAATTGCCTTTAACCCCAGCACTTGGGAGGCAGAGGCAAGCGGATCTGTGTGAGTTCAAGGCCAGCCTGGTCTACATAGTGAGTTCCAGGACAGCTGGGGCTACAGGGAGACCCTGTCTCAAAAAGTCCAAAGAAAAAGAAAAAGAAAAAAATCAAAATTGTCGAAGCTAGGAAGGGGCAGAGCTGCGAATGCTTTAGACACAAGGCCAGCTTTATTGGTCCAAGAGCCATTGCTCTCCACCACAAATACTTTTTACTTCGAGGGCCCATAAAGGTCAATACCCTCAAGGCTCTTTATGGTATCACTTGTGGACCATGCCACCAAATCAGTTTTTGAAGACAGGTTTTCTATACCATCCCTTTCATAAGAGTTATCTATTGCCACATAGCAAATCACCACAAACTTAGCGGCTTAAAATAACACACATTTATAATTGTAGAACATATGGGTCAGGAGTCCAGACATGGCTGTGCTGGATCCTCTGCTCAAGGTGTCAGCCAGGCTGCATTCTTATGTGAACAGTCATGTTCAAGTTCACTCAAGTTATTCCCCTTGGCAGTATTCTTTCTTTCCTTTTTTTACATTTATTTTATTTTTCTGTTTTACAACACTACTTTATTCAAAACTGGAGGGTTTTTTTTTTTTCATCAGACAATAGAATTACAAATCTCTTATGAAACTGACTATTTTAAGCTGGGCGTGGTGGTGCATGCCTTTAATCCTACACTAGGGAGGCAGAGGCAGGCAGATCTCTGTCAGTTCAAGGCCAACCTGTTCTGCATAGCAAGTTCTAGCCCACCTGGGCCTACAGAGAGACCCTGTCTCAAAAAGACCAAAAAGAAATTGATTACTTTACTAGCTGCCCAAGGACCATGTAGGTATCCTACTTTATTCTGGTTTAACTACCATGTACTTATAGATACAAAAATGCAGATTTGGGGGTAAAATCAATAACATGGAATAGAGACACCATGGCTAGAATATTTCCACATTTTTTCTGATATTGCTGAGGACCAAACTCTCCATGTAGTTTTTATTATTATTATTCCAAAGAGAGGCAATTTTTAAGACATTTTCCAGAAATAACTTGAAGCAGGTTGCATAAAAATATATATACAATGAAGTTTAAGGAGGGAAAAATAGGAATAAGAAATCAAAGACCAAAGGATTTGCCAACATGGGGTCAACTTTGGTGGAATAATGAAGGTTTCCATTAGCTCTGTTTTTTTTTTTTTTATTTTGAAAATCCTAATGAGTTTATTGGGCTTGCTAACAGAGCATAGGGTAGGGGTTTATTTACAGAAGAGTGGGTGCCCCCCCCCACTCACGGCTGCACTGGAAAGTCCACACTCAAATATAGATCCTGTGACTTCCCGACAGCGGCACAAAATGCCGAGAGAGGTGCCTCATGGCATTCTTGTCTTGTATATCCTTAGCCTCTCCCCCACAGGTGGTTAAGGTCAACTGATTGGGTGAAAGGGGTAACTGACTTCCCCATCCACTCTTTGACTGGCATGGGAAGGAGGTGTGACTACAGCTTGAAAGCATAGTGATCAGAGGACACTTCTAGGTAATGCTCCACCCCTTCCTCTTGCTCTTACATTCTTTCTGCCAACCTCTTCTGAAAAGTCCCTGAGCCTTGGAAGGGGTGATAGGTGTGGGATGATCTTCCTCCCCTTGTGGCAAGGTACTGAACTTTTGGGTCTCTGCAGCATCCATTTTCCATGGGCTGTTGGCCCGTTTCAGTGGTATTCCATCTACTATAGAAACACAAACAGCAAGAACCAAGAACATCTAAACAATGACTGCTATAATAACATAACCTATGGGCATAAACACAAATGCTTGGACAGTACTTTAGCAGGTGCATTACATCCATCTAACAAAACAATTGCAGTGGCTTCCCCACTGGGGCCAATAGTCTCCCCTGCCACAGGGGGTTGGCCTGATCTACAGTACCAGATGTGTGTTCCACCTCTAGGAGTCGACATTATATCCAATCGAAAATTTGCTGGTTGTACATGCACTAGGCAAGCCATTATTGCACCAGCTGGAACATCTTGTTTGGCATGTTGATAGTGCAG